CTCATGGGTCTCCTTTTTGTTTTGTTTTGTTTTCAATTTTCAAAAAAAGGATTTACGAACCTGTAGTCGTGAACAGCTGTCTCTTTTTGTTCATTATTCGTATACATGGAGACCTCTTTTAGTTGAACGGTCTACACGAGTCGAAATAAAATATGAGGAGATTAAAATAGCATAGGGAAAGCTCTTGTAAGCTTCTTGTTTGTAGGTGTTTCGATAACTGGTCCAACTATTGTTTGGAAAATTATATATTGGAATGAAATGACTGATAGGTAAATTTAAAATAACAAATGCTTTAGGGGATTAAAATATGGCACTCATCTTTTAAAAGAATGCAAAAGAAGAAAATTCACGATTTCTGAAGTCGGATAAGTAATAATAATAATAATAATAATAATAATAATAATAATAATAATCCACCTTAACAACAGATTTCTGAGCTTGGAAATCTGGTTTTTGATTTTATGTGTTGTCGCAAAATCCGAAATCCGGATATCAAAAGCTAAATCCAGATTTCCCAGTGGATAGCACCCAATAATTTCCTTGTGTCTGTTGTCAGAAATTCACTCTGAAATGTGACAGTATAACATATCGTAGTTGAGGTGTCTGCACACTTCTTCTCCGGTTAGGAGCCGATTTTAAAGGGAGGAACTGAGAAATGAAGGAGTTTGTTCCAGAATGTGTACGACAGTTTTGTTTCTGTGTGTTTGACAAACGTGAATAACATTTTTTTGTGTGTGTGCGTTCAGTTACTTCCGTATATTGTCGTTTTTATCCTCATTTATTTGCTTTATACGTATTGAAAATTGACGAGAGTTGGAGGCTAAAATTAAGAAGTACGTTTCAACTATTTTATGATCATATTTTAGATAAAAAATCGCTAAATTTTGCTCTGTCTTTGTGTCTGAGATCCATGATTATTATCAGGATAAATGAAAGGAGATTCTGTCCAACAGTTATAGGATGCTACTATTGAAATGATATTCCTATGTCAATGCGGGAGAAGCCCACTCGAAAACTTTTAAAAGTGCAGTTTTTATGTATTATTTCACTCAGTATTTATTAATGTCTTCCTTTGACCATGTAATATTAATATGTATGTTGTTAAAAGTGTAATTCCCATTCCCTCACTTAGATATAAATTGCTTTTGTTTTATTGCATGAAAAAATGTTATTTGGCGTAAAGGGCATCTAATAAGCTTGCTTTATTATGCCCATCTCCTTTTTTATTTTATTTTGTTGCAATTACTTAAAGTTTGTGATTTTTGAAATGAAGGAAATAATGATTAAAAAAATAATAATAATAATATAGATCATAGCGAGTCGATCAAGTAGCACTCCTTTCGCTGAATAATCAATGTATGTTACAAAGTACGTTAATAAACTTTTGTGTTCATACTGATTAATTTGATACGATAAGTAAGATTAAAGATCTAAAATAAAGTAGGTTCCGTCTTTTCTTTCCATGATAGAAATTTTACACATTCTTCGTCAGATGCAAATCCATACCCACCCCTCGTTCGAGACATTCTCACACCATCGAACACCTTTGTTTTATCTTCAACAGTGCTGAGCTGTACAAATCCGGTCGAAGGGTCAGCGGTGTTTACCCGTTCGACCCAGATGGTTTAGGCGCCTTTAATGTGTATTGTAACCAAACTACAGCCGGTGGGGGATGGACAGTGATCCAGGAGAAAATGGATAGCTCTGTCAATTTTAACCGCACTCCAGATGACTACAAACATGGCTTCGGTAACTTGGTCGGTGAATTTTGGCTCGGACTGGACAAGATAAACCACCTAACCCGAAACAAGAAAAAAAAAAAAAAAAAAAAAAAGTTGCGAGTAGATTTAGAAGTAGAAACTGGCAAAACTGTTACCTTGAGTATGGCTAGTTTGGGACTGGGACCGAGATAGCTAGCTACCGGCTATACCTTGGCACTACCATAAGTAAGTAAACCGTTTTTTGGCATTCATCGCTCGATTTTTATACATTGCTTCTCTCTCACCTAAATCTCGACATTTTACTCTTCTTGGTCGAATAATGGTATTATTAAGTAGCAAGGTAGACCTGAGGTAGACCCACACGTTCTGATTGGTTTTTACACGGCCGGGAGTTTGGTCTGAGTGCCACATAACAAACTTATTACTTCTTACTAGCTTTATTTCATTTATTTATTCATTCATCTATTTTTTTCTTTTTTGCGGAAAACAACAAGTTTGAAGCTATAAAGACATTGAACGGACCCTAGAATTATGCAGATTTCTTTCTTACTGTTTTGTTACAGATGCCTCTATTTCCTCTGATTCCCTCGTTCCTCGCAGAGATTATTCAATTTCTTTCTCGAAGTCACATTGCCGTTTTCCTTCACATCGAAAATTTACTTGGACTGGAGTGATATAGTCCAGTTTGTTTGGATGCATGTGGTACGCTGAGGCTGGTAGAAAACACAGTCAGTTTTGTGTTTAGAGGCTTTGGTTTGCCTACTGAAACGTGTATGTTAAAACTTTTGTTGTTTTAATAATATATATATATACTTTTAAAGCTTTACATAATTTTCTTGCATGCTTGAGGACAGTTTTTCCGGAAGGTACAATATTCTGTGACGGTAAACTTAACGAAAAAGAAGTCAAAACAAAAAGCGAATTAACATAGAAATGAAACAGGTAAAAGAACTTTTTATGCGCTTCAAACTTTTTACAGGCAGCAACGGAATTTATCTTTTATTGAAATAAATTTTCATTAAGCCCACCATGAATGAAGGTCAGGCTTTCAGCCAGTCTTACTAGCGCTCATTGTGTCCTAAATAACTTTAAGCGTGTCTGAAAAGATCTCCTCTTTCAGATTGTGGTGTGTGGTCATTTGTGTTGATATTTCATTAAAGCTATTTCACCATTTATCCTCAAGTTTTCAGGGGAATCTTTTATTTGTCGGATCTGAAATAAATGTTTGTAGCAGGGACAGTAAAATACGAGAAGAGTTGGCCGTTTTCTCTCCACCCGTAAAACTGATATGAATCACTTGTGTTTGGGAGTAAGTTGCTAAATTAAGATTAAGTGTCATGAATACAATGAAACAAGGGAAAATGGTGGTAATCTGTTAAACTGGTAAACCCAGCAAAGTCATTGAATATCACATTTGTTGCCTCCGAGCACGTTCCGGATTTCCCTGAGTATCAAAATGTATGAAATATAAGGATTTCTGATTGATGCATTCCCTCTGATACAATGCTGCGGCAAACTACAACTTTGAAGAAGATAACATATCTACTATTGGCCATATAAGGTGTCATCGAACTGTTTCGTTCTCTATCCAAAAACATTTAAAGAAGTTTGTATACAAATGCAATTTATGCAGGAACCTAACCTATGAGGTACGGCACTCTTGAGAGCGGAACTCCGTCGCAAATCTACTCATTACAAATCAATAAGCTTTCGAAACTCTGCATACGAAAACTTCATTGTTGACCCAAGAAATATTAGGTATGTTATTCACATAATTTCAATTCGGTTCCGATCTCATCGAGAAATTTGAATGCAAATGACGCAATTATTAGATAACTGATGTACCTGAAATATTCTGGAAATTTTTGTGTAGTGTTTTTAGTTAAATAAATGCTAAAACACAGAGAATGAAAACGTTGTCAATCAAATTCTGACCGAATGAAGGTATCACATTACTGAGTAATTTCAATAAACCGTGGATGACTTCTGACAAAATTGGGTCAAGCGAAAAAGTGCATTAGTACCGACATGTGAAAGAAAACCTGCAACCACATTGTGGAAAGAGAGTGTGTGTTATTCAACATCATGTAATAGATTATTTATGAAACATCAAAGAATTGGTCAGCGTGCGTATATCGAATTATGGATGCACGCGTGAAGTTGGAGAGCAGGTGCATCAAAGTCTCTAAACACAAAACTGACTGTGCTTTCCACCAGCTTCTGCATACCACAGACATCCAAAGAAACTGGACTGTATCACTCAAGTCCAATTAAATTTTCGATATGAAGGAAAACGGCAATGTGACTTTAAGAAATAAATTGAAGAATGTTTCATTTTTCACTTTCACTAATTAGCTGTCTGAAGAGTGTGCAAATAGTCTGTTACTCAAATTTTCAACCCTTAAAATTTTAAGTATATCGGCGAAGAATTCCATGAGACTGGTGATAAAATTTCCTACTTTGGGACATAATTGTTTTTTTCATTCTATTTACACGAAAGTAAATAGCAGGAGTTATTGCACTCAGTATGTTGCATAGACATTTGCAACATGTTAAACTAATACTTTTATGCAAGTAAGCGGTTACACAAGGCCCGGAAGTGGACTTCGATACCATAACGTATTCGTCAGATCAAGCGAAAGATCCTCACGGCAAATATCAAATTGAAAACCATTGTAGGCTCAGTATTCCTCGAGCATAGGAAGTCTTCGACAAGTGGATTCCCATGGCAACTCAATCAATAAGAGTTTTAAGTAGAGATAGAAATATTATAAAGCAGTCTTCATTTCTTCACAAATTATAAAGTCACATTTTAAAGGTACCTTTTGTGATCTAATCTTTGATAGCACTGAAATAGCAAAGTTGACGAATCCTTAGAAAATACAAAAACTATTGTATTAATAACAAAACATATATAAACTCTATCTTATGGCATATAGTGTTCCACTGTATACAGAATTCTTCTGAATTAATTTCGGTGTTATGAAAATATGTTTTTCCCAAAATTATGTTTGGTGGCCTTTTTAATCGCATTATTCTAAACAAATCCCATAAAGTCTGCAAATAATAAAAAATTTCTGATACCAACTGATTACGATATATCTTCTTTACAACAAAAGTGTAGTCGAGTCTATGATGTTGTCATTAATCTAATTTGCATTCTAAAAATCGATAAGTCTTGAAGTAAAGAGATTGAAAAAAGTAATCGGTGTTTTATTGTCACACAAACCACTTCTTGATTTTTGCAAACAGTAGATGCACATTTCATTTATGTAGAATTCAAGCCACGCGCATAAATTCCACTGGTCTTATTTTCATTTCAGTTGATGTTGGAGCGCTTCTCTTGGCACTTCTTCCTAAGTATCCCCAGTGGATAGCGGCCAAGGTTTCTTTTCCACAACGTGGATAAATACCATTAAGATTTGACGAAACAGCACATTGGGTAATACTGCTGTCATACCACCAGCCTCCTCCTATTTGTTGAGCACAACCAGCAGGAACCTTATCCCAGGTACCAAAAACGAAACCTTTATGAGGACCGAGTGAATCATTGGAAACAGTGGCATCTGTTTCAAAACAGAACAAAAGAAATCCGCATAATTCAAGGGTTCTTATAGTGTCTTTGCAATTAAAAAAAAAATGTAAATAAATAAAAAATAAACAAATAAATAAAATAAGGAGTTAGTAAGAAGCACTCGGACCAAACTCTCGACCGAGTAAGAACCAATCAGAACATGCGGGTGTACCTCAGGGCTACCCTGCTACTTAATAATACCATTTTTCGACTACGTGGAGTTTTAGATCGAGATTTTGATGAGAGAGAAGTAACGTATAAAGATCGAGCGATGAATGCTAAAAAAACGGTCTACTTACCTATAATTTTGCCAAGGTCTAGCCAGTACTTAGCTGTCTCGGTCCCAATCCCAAACCAGCCATACTCAGAGTAAACAGCCTTGCCAGTTTTTACTCCAAGATCTACTCGAAGCTTGTTCTTTGTCTTGTTTCGTGTCAGGCGGTTTATCTTGTCCAGTCCGAGCCAAAATTCACCGATCAAGTTACCGAAGCCATGCTTGTAATCATCCCAGCTGCGGTTAAAATCGACAGAGCCATCCATTCTCTTCTGGATCACCGTCCATCCCCCGCCGGTTGTAGTTTGGTCACAGTATACATTAAAGGCGCCTGAACCATCCGGGTCGATTGTGTAAACACCGCTGACCCTTTGACCAGATTTGTACAGCTCAGCGCAGTTCTTAGCTATTGAAGATAAAATAAAGGCGTCCGATGGCGCGAGAATGTCTAAAATGAGGGTGGATATAGATTTGCAGCTGACGAAAAATGTCTAAAAATTTATATCTTGGAAAGAAAAAGACGGAACCTACATTTTTCGTAGATCTTTTATCTTATTTGTCGTGTAAAATTAAATGGTATGAACATGAAAGTTTATTAACGTACTTTGTAGACGAACACTGATTATAAGCGAAAGAAGTGCTACTTGATCGACTCATTATAATCTGTATTATTTTTTTATCATTTTTCCCTTCACTTCAACATTCACAACCTTTGATTAATTACAACAAAATAGAGAAAATTGGAGATAGGTATAATAAAGCAAGCTAATTAGATGACCTTTACGCCAAATAACATTTTTTTTTTCATACAATACAAGAGAACAAAAGCGATTGATATATGAGAGGGAATAGGAATCACACTTTTAACAACAAATATATCAATAGTACATAGTGAAAGGAAGACGTTAATAAATACTAGGAAAATTAATACATAAAAACTGCTCTTTAAAAAATGTTTTCTAGTGGGCTTCTCCCGCACTGATATAGGAATATCATTTCAATAGTAGCATTCGATAACTTTTGCACAGAATCTCCTTATATTTATTCTGAAGGTGCAAGTGTTCGGGTGCTGCAACTATATACTTATAGTGTCATAATCATGGATCTCAGACACAAAAGACGAGAAAAATTAGGCGATTTTTCATCTACAATATGATCGTAAAATAGTTGACACGCACTTATTAACTTTAGCCTCCAACTCTCGTTAATTTTGATTACGTATAAAGCAAATTAATGAGGATAAAAACGACGATAAACGACAAAAATAGAACGGACATAAAAAAAATAATAAAAAATAAATAAAAAATAAATAACTAAAAAAAAATATATATATATATATTATTCACGTTTGTCAAACACACAGAGACAATACTGTCGTACACATTCTGGAACGAACACCTTCATTCCTCGATTCCTCCCTCCCGAATCGGCTCCAAACCGAACAATATACTGTTTCTTATTCTAATAGACCGTTTGTTGCTTCTTTCTGAGGAAGTTACTGCAAGCATTTCAAATTGTTATCCTTTTCCTTTTTTCCTTTCCATATTTAGCTACATTTCTTTTTAAAAGAGTATTGCAAAGGATAAGAACTACGAAGAGAAAACTGTATATTTTAGAATTGCAAAGTTACTCCTTTGAAACATAAATTGGATTCATCATTCTGCAGAGTTAGTCTCCCGTAATATAAGTAACGATTTAGAAGAGATGGAATGATAAATACAAGTAAACGAAGGATATCTTACTTACATCTCAACGATGTTCTGTTCTTTAAGAGGATGTTAACCTCAAATCGAACTTGGGTGAGTTCCTTCATTATTTCTTCCAGGCAAACTGCAGTGTTCTTTTGGCAATCTATTGGCAATGCACGCATTGATGGTAGAATTTGAAAAGTCAAAAAAAATGCCAGAAACAGTAGAGCAGAACCTGCAGAGAAGAAGTCATCGAGCGTTATGAGGTCACTTCATCTACGATATGTTATACAGTCACATTTCCGAATGAATTTCTGACAACAAACGGAAAGAAATTATGGGGTCCTTTTGATTGGGAAATCTGGATTTAGTTTTTGATATCCAGATCTCGGATTTTGCGACAAAGCATGAAGTAAAAAACCAGACTTTAAATCTGAAAAACCCGTTTCTTACAGGGGATTATTATTATTATGAGTTATCCAACTTATGATATCACGAGATTCCTTCTTTTGCGTTCTTTTAAAAGACGAGTGCTATCTTTTGATCCCATAAAGTATTTGCTATTTTTAAATTATTTTATCAGTCATTTCATTCCAACATATGATTGTCCAAACAATAGTTGGACAAGAAATTGAAAAACCTACAAACAAGAAGCTTGCAAGAGCTCCCCTGCGCTATTTTAACCCGCTAGCAATTTTTAAAAAAGAACGATAGTTGTCAATTTTGGCATTCCCGAGGTAGAAACGAATTCAAAACTGCATCTGCATAATCCAAGAGATTCAATTCAGTCAACTATTGAACAAGGCGATCGAGTTTTTTAAGTGAAATCGTTCAGGGCTCGTTGCAAAAGAAAGTTATATGCTACCACGAGCGTGAATGATCGACTGTTTCAGATAACTGACTTTACTTCATTTATCACACCACGACTGAAAGATTTCAAAACCTTTGGAGTTCGACTATTGTTCCCTGTGATCGAGCACACTGACTGGGTTTTGAGAGTTGTCGGTGTTTGCTATAATAGGAGTCGCATACAATAAGCGCTAATGGACTATTGGGAATTAGCGCTCTATAAATACTGTATACTGTATAGTACAAACCCCATCGGTTAAAAGGAGGTGCAAACGTTAGCCTCTTAATTTTATATAGCTTCAAAACGAAAAATTCCATATTTGGAAAAAAGAAGCATAGGATATAATCAAGTAAGTTGCTCAAAACTGTGACTTGCATATCGAACAGTATTACATACCTATACCTTGTCGATTGTCCCTCATTTTGATTCGTCGGGTGTTGTTTGCAGTGTTATTCATAAAGGCTGCAAAAAGATAAAACCGATTTTATGTTAAAGATAGGAAAGAACATTAAGAAACTCTATGGAAAAAGTACAGTGGGAAAGTTTTTCCCAAAAGTACTAGGACCTTACATACTGCTGAGCTCACTTACTTGACTTACTTATTTACCCTAACCGCCCGCCTCCTTCGTGCTCTGTTCAAGAACTAATAAAAGTCCGTTCGAATTTGTCTGCTAAATAAGCCCACAGAAAACAAAAAATAGACAAATCCTATTGGCTCAGGCCGTTCCAGGGGTTAAAAATTCTGTTACCCCTTAAAATAAGGGGAGAATCTACAACGGGTTCGTAACAGGAAATTTCTAGTTTTGGCTCGTCTTTGGTCAGTCTTATTCACTGAAATGTGACATGATTGACGACTACATTATCGTGACAGCTGGTGTTCAGAATTCAGCTGGTCTTCTAGAAATATCTTAGTTTCAATTTTTTCTGCCTAAACAAGATTTAAAAGAGTGTTTGATGAAGTCTCTTCCGGACCCATCTTTCTTTATTGATATGATAGATTTTCCTTCGTGAGATAGATGTTTAACAATGAGTATTGCAAAGCAAATCAAATGGAATCTAGTAATTTATTATATTGGACTTATGATTATAAACAGTAGCTATATAACTGTTTTATATCCTCTGATATTTGACACTTCATGAGAGCTTAATGGCTTTTTTATAATCCTAATTCCGTTCCTTAATCATGCAGGCACTCCGGAATGCAGACGAAACAAACAGATTCTTTCAACCAAAATGGTTGCTATTTCTCAGTTACCAAGTTTTATAAAAGGAGTCCTTGGAACAGCATGGTCAAAATTTCAGAGAGTGTTGCCTGAATACGCATATATTTTCACTGTTATGTGGGCAAACGGTTCAGCTACCATTTCGCGCCATTTATGAAAGAAACGAAATGAAGTTAAGGAAGTCTAAATAAATCTGTATTGTTTAGTTAGATTGAGAGAAATATTTTGAAGATAAATGTCTTCAATCGATAAAGGGGGTAAGTTTCTGAAGAAAATGTGGTACTGCGTCAGCGGGAGAGTATAGCAGGGTAATACAGTATCATCAACTGAGTTGATAAGGTAAATTGGCTACCGTAGAGAGTTTCAAAGCTGACGTTTCGAGCGTTAGCCCTTCGTCAGTTAATAGACATGCTAATCAGGCAATGGATAATAAGTTGATAAAATGTCTTTGAGAGAAATGTTTTTAATCGTACGTTAATCAGTAGAATCATCGTTGGAATTTAATAGCAGTTTTAGCGGTGGAATCCTGCTGGTAAGGCTTATACTATTTGTGAACAGTTTGTAATCAAAGATAAGGATAACATTGTTAATAAAGACGAGGATTACGAATTCCAATGCTCAGGAGATTATTATGATAGAGATTCTCTCGCTCTAATGGATCGAGGATGGTGTCGTATCTCGCTATTATGACTACGCGCGAGGTGATTAAAGCAAAGGTGCTTAATTTCAAAATTGCTGGTGTTCAGTTTGGATTAATTCCTTGATTTACCAAAAATAAGTTATTCTGTTTATTGCCTGAAAAATATCTTGTTACCTTTTCTCAGGGGGTTAAAAGTGTTTAAGTCTACACCATAAAAAAAAGCTCAAAACTTTGATGAGTATCTTAATTCATCCCGAAAATTTACTCACGAGTGGTAACAAGAGAGAACCAAATATCTTAAATCTTTAGAGCAAACTCTATGAACCAATGAAAAGGAGAGTTATCATGAATACTAGCTTTGCTTTGATGAAAATCCATATGGAAATGGCAAAATACGATATTAACTTTTCTGATAATTGTAGCAAAGTTCTTGTCTATAGTAATCACGATAAACGGGTCGTTTTGTGCAAACTCTCTGCTGCAATTATCCTCTCTTTCTGACTTGAGAGAGCTTCGATCAGCTCTTATTGTTAAGTGTGTCTTTAGTAGTTCCCTTGGTTACACCGCTATCATGTTAAACATTATGACAATGTACCACATGTAGAAAGCTTCATCTTTGCCAATAGTTCAATAGATTCTTCAGTACAGTGCTAGCCGCGTGAACGACCCTTAACCCTTCCAGTGCTAAGATCTCAATATCAATTCTTCTTGGTGTCTGCCATACGATTCTTATAGTTTTATTTTGCAGAATGTTGTATGGAATTGGATCAACTTATAATCCCCTGATTGGTATTTTTCTTTATTCTCATCACCTTTCTGTTTGATGTAGTTTGATATTGCGAGCAGAAATTCTGTGTTGGTCACTTATGGGAGTTAAAGGAATCATGCCGTTAGACGGCAAGAAAAAATGGCCATTACGCCTAAAAGTTGAATTTTAACAATTGGTCTTAAAGAAATGGCTAATCGTAAAAATTGCTCTTTTAAGAACGAAGGAAAGAAATTAACCGTTAGCCGTAAATTGGCCAAAATTTTAACCGTAAAAAAATTTTAGCCGCAAAGCCATTACAAGAACCTCTTTGAGATCCTCTTAATAGTGCTTGAAGCCGACATGTGGGTGGCTCCATTCCATATTTATAGTGGATCGGAAACTGGGCATCTTTATTCTTGCGGAAATTCAAACCCTGAAGGGAAAATACCTAAAGATTAAACTTAAAGATTCAAACGTAACGAAGTTGAACAAAAAGATTGTCCAAACAAACTGCGTCTGTGCATTTACAAACAAATCACTGGCTTCGTGTTTTTGAGAGGAAAAAGAAACAAAAACCTGATCTCATTGTCTTGGAATCTTATTGATTAGATATTTCTGCGTTTAGGACAAAAAAAAAAAAAAAAAGGTGAAATACACTACAGGAAAATTTGGATTCACTCGGGTTGCAAAGTAAGCAAACGTGTTGAAAATTTAGGGATATAAATTGGTGTTGACGCACTGATTTGCCTGTTCTTGTGGCTTTCCTGTGCACACGTGATATAAACGTGACATTGTGCTCTTTGTTTCCTTCGCCTTTGCAGATACTACAAATTTTTAATAACGACATGAATTTGCACAAGCATTACCCTCTTTGCAAAACCAGGCAAATACATTTCAATACTAATCTTTTTATTCCCATGTTTTAAAACGTTTTCGCAAGGGATGCAGATGTAAATATTTGCAGATAATCTGCTCTAAATGGATCTAAGAGCAAGAACTGGTTTGCTAGAAACTTACAAGGATGTGTAATAGAAGGCCAAATAATACAATGCAAAACTTTTACAGGGTGTGTTTGTTTCTTGCTACATTTGATGTGATTACTTAAGGGAAGCCCGAACAACGTTTCTGTGACCAAGGAATGTTGACTGCTGAAATACTTAAAAAAAAAGACTCTCAGAAAATTCGACCTTTTCGCTTTTAACCATCATAGTCGCGCCTTAATGAGGAAACGTTATTGCGTTAGTAAACGGAATACTATAATCTGACCGGATTTAAGTCCCTTGTCTTTCTCTCTTCTTTGACCCCAATAGAAACTTTGTTTGATATAAAACATTCCCAGTCTATTAAACTCTTTGTGCTTTCTTTTGCAAGCCTAAGGGTCCTAACCATCCACTGATCTTCGAATCCTTATCTGTTTCTGGCGTGCGTGCGTGCTTTCGAAGACTGTTACAACACGAAAACAAAAACCAATTAAGTTCTTGTCAATGACAAACAAAAGTTTAGATGAGTATTTTACACCAAAGAATGTTAGACACATGCGAAATCATCCATTTCTTTGTTTGTCCATCTGTAGAACATTGTTTCAAAAGCACGTCATCTGTTTCTTTTATTGACCTCTTGAAGCGTGACCTTGCAGCCCGCGTGGGCGGCAGAGAGGAAAGGCATACTTCTAATGCAAACCGATTGTTAAACAACAGCGCGAAATACAGTGACAACTTTTTTACTGTAAATCTTCCCATTTTTAAATCCCGATATACGAGACTTTTCTCACCCCCAAAATCTCGAAAAATGTGCGACCCCATTGTAGTAACTCCATTAAAGAATGCAGCCCTATTATAGTAAATCCAGCCGTGAAAATGGGACTAAGAAGTACTTACCCCACCCTCTATCCCCTCACGGGCATGTACGGGGACCTGTCAAGCACAGTTTCCGCTCAATGACGTAATAAAGATTTAAAAGGTTCATTTATCTCCTTGTTGCTTAGTCGCCACTTTATCCTAGCCTGTGGCAAAACTGCACTAACACAGAAATGAATTCTTTCAATATCGGAACAAGAATTAATTTAGGAGTTCCGGTGAGTTAGTTTTCTCTCGAAAGGCTTTAACGATAACAGCCAGAGTTCCTACCGAAAAACATAGAAAATGTTAATCAGACAATTTTATTTTGAAAAAATTTGCAGAATTAAAATTTTTGGAATTTTTTTTGTTTTTTGTTTCTTTCTCTCTTCCTTTGGGTGGTATTGAGAGGTATTCCGAAATAATATATTTCATGCTCACCCAGCGGACATTGCAAAAGATCAGAAATTAGATTGACACACGGAAACTCGGATGCTAACAGTAAAGACAAAAGCGTCAGGATACCCGCCTAAATAACTTATAGAGGAAAAATTTAAGTTAGTACGCGCGCTCTCATTGGCCGATAGGTGTGTTTTTGATTGAGACGTCATGCCTTCTTTATTAAATTTTGTCGTATCATGTTTGAGTCGTGAAAGAACAATCAAAGAGACAACGAGAAAACAAGACAAAAAACAAATCACTAGGATTAAAATTGAACGTCTTTATTTACATCACTATCGTGCAATAGCATCACATGTCGATATTCCTATCCTAGAAGTATAGATGAAGTTTGTCTCCATGGACAAAGATAATCGGCTCAGCCTGCCACGAGTCTCCTATGGCTCAGTGGTACAGCATCTGAAGTATTTTTCGGAGGGTCATAGGTTCGACTCGAAGCTCTTTTTTCTATAAATACCTGTGTCAGTCACAGAAGAACATCATCTTAAAAGCTTGAGAAACTGCAGATAACCTTTTGGAGAATCTACGAGTCTTATAACTAACACACGTGCGCTTTACCAGGGTCAAATCTTATTATTCGCAAATCTTATTATTCGTCATCTTAATCTTCTTTTTTCGCATTACACATTGATTGAGTCCATCTCATTTAACTTTATCCTACTCTATTCTCTCCATGCCTAAGCTAGTCTTGATATTATTTGCGCGTTTAGGACTCGAAATCCTAATGACGGAAGATTGCATTTGCTCACGGTCCCCTTTCTAATGCTCAATAGATTCTTCACTGTAGTGATAGCCGTGATAATCCCTTTACCGGCCTTTTACTCTCAAGATCTCATAAGAAATTCTCCTTACTAATCTCCAAGATATGCAAACAAAGAACTTGTGAAGTTGTTTACCAATTTTTGATAAAATTATGTTCCCAACTTACACCAGGCCGGAACGTGGACTGACCTCGATACCTTTACAGTCTTAAATGTCTGTCAATCGTGCGTAAGAAGCTTCACTAGCAAATATGAAAATAAAAAACCAGTGTAAGTTTGGAAATCCTCAAGTATAGGAGGTTTGCGACCTATTGGGATGCCATGGCAACACTATCGCAGAGCTTTTGACGTAAATGCGTAAATAATGTATAACAGTCTTCACTTCATCTCCCGGTAAAACTCGCATACCTAAATTTTTATTTTTTGACACAATCTTAATTCGTTTTATTGATAGCTATAATATTGTGAAACTTTAAATATCATCAGAAAACGTAAAAACTGTGGAGATGAGTAAAAACATTTATGAACTCCAGTTAATAGCTTAGAACGTTCTACAGATATAAATCCTTCTGAAAAAAAAAATTATTTTCTAAAATCGCATTTGACCGACTATGTATGGTCGAGTCCATGATTTTGTCATTTTTTCTATTCTGTATATTCGAAACATTTTAACCTCTAAAATTAAGAGGCGTTGGAAAAAATACAGATCTTTTTTGTCTTGCCGTTAAAAATTACTGCACTTGATGCCTGGTCACGAAGGAAACAGTTAACGATGATGTTTCCCCGGTGAAATTCATGCAAATTCAAGGAAGGCCACTCGATCATTAATCTGCCAATCACAATTTTAATAACAGCGAAGTTGATCGAGCAGAAGACGCAGAAATCACTATTTACGTGAAAACTTTATCGTCAGAAAGTTTTTAAAAAAAATCCACTGGTCTAATTTTCATTTCAGTTGATGTGGGGGCGTTGCCCTTGGGATTGTTTGGGTCTAATTCTCTCCAATGGATATCGGCCCAGGTTTCATTTCGACAATGCGGATAAATTCCGTTGAGATTCGAAGAAACAGCACATTTACTACTTCTGCCATACCACCAGCCTCCGCCTCTTTTCTGTGTACAATCAGCAGGATCCCTATCCCAGCTACCAAAATTGAGATCTTTGTGAGGATTGAGGGAATCAGAGGAAACAGTTGCATCTCCTTAAAAAAGAAAAAAAGAAAATTCCATAATATTTGGATCAAGATAATACTTTTGACGCCCCAAACTCGATAATCGACGAAGTAGGGCAGATATCGAAATACAAAAATATCGGGAAATATAATTAATACTCAAATTTTATTTTGCTAAAGCCGAGTTCAATGATTTTTCTATCTCAAGCAGCTTCGAAAGCAAACTGTCTTCGTAGTAGCGCGGACTTAACTAGGTATAGGCAGAATTAACAGCAAAAAAACACTCAAACGCTAGACTGAAACCATTATCTGCAGGTTACGTGGAGTTGGGGGAGGGGATTGAATTAACAATCAGTAACAGAGAACTGAATAACTGAGTTTTCCATTGGATTAAAGTTGTCACTAACTTGTATTTTCAATTGGCTAAATTTGAAGTAGGCAAACATCAGTTTAAGCAGCCTCTCTAAAGAAACCAACTTTAAATCGTTTTTAGCTGAACAGCTCTTTAGCTTTGGTGTGAATAGGGCACTAGACATCGAAAGGGAAGTAACATATAAAAATCCAACGATGAATGTTTAAAAGACGGTTTACTTACTTGTCATATTGCCGATGTACAGCCGGTAGTCAGTAGTCCCGTTCCCAATTCCAAACCATTCATACTCAGCGTGAACAGTTTGGCGAGTAGTTACCCCCAGATCTACTCGAAGCATGTTCTTTGTCTTGTTTTGTGTCAGACGATTTATCTTGTCCAGTCCGAGCCAAAATTCACCGACCAAGTTACCGAAGCCATGTATGTAGTCTTTCCAGGTGCGATTAAAATCAACAGAGCCATCCATTCTCTTCTGGAAGACTGTCCACCCCCCACCAGAAGTAGTTTGGTCACAATACACATTAAAGGCGCCTGAGCCATCTGGGTCGATTGTATAAACACCGCTGATCCTTTGACCGGAATGGTAGAGCTCAACACAGTTCTTAGCTGTTGATGAAATACAAGGGAATAACAGTTGATATACTCTTGAAAAATTGCAGGAAGAATTGAAATGAATAAACGTTAATAGAGATAGTAGCAAACATTAACGAAGAAGAATCATGCTTACGTCTCGCCAATGTTTTGTTCTCCGTGAGAATTTTAACCTCAAATCGAACTTGGGTGACTTCCTTCATTATTTCTTCCAAACAGACTGCAGTGTTCTTTTGGCAGTCTATTGGGAATGCCTGGGCTGATGGTAGAATTTGATAAGTCACAGAAAGTGCCAGAAAAAGCAGATCAGAACCTAAAGGAAAGAAGAAAAATCAAGTGAGTAAGAAGAAATTTGAATGTAGTAATTCCCTAGAGTATTATTACATGACCTGAAATGGGTAGGCAAAACATACTAGGTAAAGATATCTCTTGGAGTTAAACCTCGGTGCTTCATTTCCTACATCCCCGCAAAAACAAAAGGTTAATTTTTCAAAAGTTACATCAACTTGAAAGACAGCATATGTGCATTACCCCATTTGCGTTAGCCTATACTGCAAACATAAATTGTTTAAAATATATTAAAGTTCACACGGCAACCAGGTGGTCAATCAGACATGGTTTGATGCTACTCTGGTTTACAGATTTAATGAATGTAATCGAATAAGTTACAATTCATAGACCCAACGTTAAGACACTCCTGTCTAGTACCTTCATTAGTGGTGATGTAAACGCTGCAACAAGAGGTCTCTTTTATATGATCTCTAAATAGCTGCCTTTTTTCTGACGAGGTGTCAATAGGGGCCAGGAGGCAAGCCGCCATCGTCACGATGTAAAGGAGCGTGGGCGGAGTTAATACGTCAAGCCTCCAAACAAAGGCGCTGGTGTTAACGCCTATTAGTGGTGATAATTTTAGAATTATCCCACCTAATTGTATGGTAAGTTAGGCATGTGTGCTCCGATAATGCTGAATTTTCCTTTTTGCAAAAGAAAACTGGTTTTTGATCTCTTTCAAACGTGTACCAAACTGATGTTTGGTCTGTCCGATGTATTCGTTGTCCCAGTCCTTGCAAGGGATAGAATAAATGGCGTCGGTTTGTTGTTCTTTCGTGACAGAATCCTAAGATTTGGCGAAAATATGCCCCAAAGTCTGAAAAGGTTTTTGAGCAACTTTAACGTTGTGGCTATTCAAAATTCTCTTGATGGGTTCCGTAACACTCTGAATGTAAGGAATAACAGCAAAACCAGTCTCTGATTCCCTTTCATCAAGAGTGTTACTAGTTGTAAAGATCAACTGTGGATGTTAACAATCTCCATTTAGAATTCCCTTTCACGCTTGCTCTCAAAAATATTTTTACGTTATTTTATAATTAGCTCAAACCAGCAACGATCTTTAATCAACGATTCACAATGAACGCTCCTTTGACAACTTCTTCAATAACCAACTAAGTAAAGAATAACAAGGAAATTTGCCAAATCTACGAAATCTCATAACCTAGATATAAACGGATTTTACTATAAATATTAAGGTTAAAAAGTGTCATTTTCAAGTTGAAGGATAAAATTTTTATCATGCTGCCAAATATGGTCAGTTTGAAGCTGAAGGATCAAATTTTTGTCATGTGCTTATCTATGTAATCAATTATAAAAATGCTAATGAGATTCTGACTAAAACTCTAAAATATTTACATAGAAAAATTACGAGAAAATCGAGGCAAGAATGATAAAAACGCTAAGGCGAAAGAAACTATGTTAAAAGTGAATCGATAAGGTTAACACTTTTGCACGGATCGAATCACTATGTTTGTTCAGTTTTGGTTCAAGTTCGCGAATAAAAAGCATTTCAAAGATCAAACAATCCAGTTCGCTCTGACATTTCTTCAGAATCTTGAAATTTCTTTCGATGGTCTCGCGATCCTTTCCGTGTTCGTCCTTTACGTGACTGCCGGGTTTTGATCGCTTGTGTTCCTCCTCACGTTGATGAAAGTGTCGGCTGGTGAAGCCAACATAGTGTGCATAGCTCAGTTCCATCGTAAAAATGAGTGAAGGGTGGATTTCATTCAGCGTTGAGAAGAAAACAGAGGCTGATGAGGCATCGAAATCCAAGCAGAGAAAGCGTTCGAAGACAACGGTTTCAATAGGAGATATGCCCTTAACATCACAAAAAAAAAAACAACAAAAAAAAAACACCTTTTCCCAATTTGCAGGAAATTTGTAAGAGCAAGTGGATAGAGTTACCATGGGCTCTCCTTCGGACCACTAATGGAAGATGCGTTTATGTGCCATATTGAAGAAAAATTTTAAAGGAAAAACAAGACGGCTGCTTTCTATTAGCGCTTTGTCGATAAAACCCTTAGCAAAATGCCCGATGTTTCGTCTGCCTCGGTATTCTTGTGAACACTCAGCTTTATAAAGGAACTTGAGAACAACGACAGACTTCCCTTTCTTGGAATGATGATTATCAGAAACAGTCCCCGACCAGACACGAAGGTCTACGCGAAACCAACTGATACTGGAATTTTACCGCGTTGCCAAAGCTATGATGAAACAGCCATATAATCTGACGATACTTGATAATATCATGCCTATTCCTTGTTGAGAACGTCTCATTGTAATGATTTGGGTCTAACTCTTTGGATGTATGCAGCACGCATATACGACCAAATAGAAAACGAGAAACTATACAGAAAATGTGGCGGCAACCTTAATAAACTGATGTGGAATAAACCTGACAGGAAAGTAGACCTGTTTTCTCTGCCAATAATCTATTTTCTCGACATTTTACTTCACATACTGTCAGAGACATCACACGTATCAATCTAGTTTTATCGAGAATGACCGTCTTGCGATATCTCTTAAAATGCTTATTGTGAGATACTTAAGAGAGTGTACGTGACGGTTTGACGTTATCTCATATCTTTCGCAACACTCGTCAAAAATTGCAAAGTTTGATTTTGTGTTGAGAAACAAGCCGATCTTGAGAGTTTGGAAATGGGATTGTAGAGAACACAGTGTAAAACAAAGTAATAGAAAATCATTAGTGTTAAGGTTCGACTGTGTTAGATGAAAAGAACGTGCTTTATCTAAACAAGCTCCAGAACGACTATGAACCACTACGCCTGCACTTCAACTTCTGTCCACTCAATTGATGATATATGGAAGGCTTCCCGAGAATTCTTACATTTTGCAAAATAAAGTCTTTCATGCAGACCCCATGTTATGAACTTTGCTACAACTGTTTGCCTCTTCAAATTGAAGGGCTCTAGTATTAAATGACATACTCTTTTTTTACAAAAAGTCCTATATTTGGAAAAAAAATGTCCAAAGTGTTTCCAGAAGTTTCTATGTACTGCAAATTGTATACCAAACAGCCGGTATTACATACCTATTCCTTGTTGAGAACGTCTCATTGTAATGATTTGGGCGTAACTCTTTGGATGTATGCAGCAGGCATATACGACGAGAAACTATTCAGAAGATGTGGCGGCAAGCTTTATAAACTGATAAGACTATACTCTCCGCTGAGTTTCTTATTACCTGACAGGTAGTTGGACCTATTTTCTCTGTCAATAATCTCTTGTCACATCACTATTTGTAATAATCTAATTTTATCGAGAATGACTTTCCCGAGATATCTCTTAAGATGCTTATTGTGAGATACTTAAGAGAGTGTACGTGACGGTTTTGATCTGAGATCTTTCACAACACTCGCCAAAAAAATTGCAAGTGCAAATGTTAAAACAATAGGGAAAAAAGGCAAAGTTTGATTTTGTGTTTGGCCATCGTAATCCCTCCGAGCCCGAGGAAAAAGAAAAAGAAGGAAGTACTTCATCTATATGTCTTCCTCGATTATCGTGAGCTCGACATATCTTCGTGGGAACTCGAGTGAAATGCGTCACGGTTTTCATAACTTATCAAATTGTTCCAACCTTTCTAGAGTAGAGGAGGCTAAGTAAACACCGATAAAGTTCTTTATTGCGCAATTGTCCAGACAGGGCCTTATGTGTTACACGATCTCAGAGGCTTTTCTTCGTAAAATTTTCCGCCAGCAATCATTTCGAGAAGAATGTCCTTTCATTCAAGCTAGGAAGTGCAGAGTGTTCTGCCATATGCGAATAACCCATACATCTTCCGCTAAATAACTTAAAATTGATTTATTTGCGCGCGTGCTCCACTCAAATTACAATAACAACTATCATGATGGAGATGTAAAAAAACACAGCCACTATGGGTGGCTGTTAACCGATGCAATTAGGTTCCCAGTTATGAAAAAATGATTCACAACTAAGTTACTTGTCTTGACCTCGATGCTATAAAACGGGTAAGGATCCCGCGTTTTATCCTAAAGAGAGGGACGTTCCAGTGCGATATAATTTAAGTTTGCAGCTGAACTAAACAGGCTAAGTGAGTAACATGAAGAAGTTATTTGAAATGGCCTGAATTGTACTCGAGCGCTTTTTCGGCGAAATGGGGGAAGATAATGGAAGATGCTGTAAACTCTCTGAAGACCTATTTGATTTCAGTTAGATGTCCTCCGTTAATTTCTCTTTAAAGAACCTTACACCTCGTCACTCGATTATAAATCAGCTTTGATAAAGCGGGAGCGAATATCTCGTGACGATATGTCATGGCTTACCCAGATTATTATGGAGCAGAGTACAAAATTAGTTTGACTTCAATGATAGTCAGACGGCCAAGCAGTCACGTCATCATTTATTCACCCACTCACTCACTCACTCACTCAATCAATCAATCAATCAATCAGTCAGTCAGTCAGTCAGTCAGTCAGTCAGTCAGTCAGTCAGTCAGTCAATCAATCAATTGATGGATCTAGAGATATGTTACGCACATTAAATTTCGCATTACTCTATGAGCTCA